AGATCTCACTGGGAGCTATATATAGAGTGTAAAGCACAAGATTTTACGCCAATCCTTCAGGTACATGTAGTTGATTATACAATATGTTCGCTCCTTATATTTCCAAACTTAACTGGCATTTACCTTAAAATATATTTCAATAAAGGAGATATTTTAATTTATTCTGCAGTTATTCACAGACAGTCATATGCATTTTTTTTCTTTTTACGTAGCTTGTTGAATGCATTGCTTTTTATCAGAAGTCTGCAACAACGCGCTTTTATGCTGGTGATACCGGTAGAAGCTGAGTTTCTACTGTTACCAGCATTTAAATCTGTAGTCAGATGAATGATGTTTAATAAAATCAATGAACACTGAATAATTATTAATTACCCAACAGAATGTATGTAAGCTGTAAATAGGGAGTTTTGGGCGAAGTTTGACAATATCATTAAAGATTAAATGAAGAACATATTTTTGTGAAGGATATCGATGAAACAAATCGTATGCATCTGCTTAATACAACTGAATATATTTTTCATGGTTTTCAAAAATCGGAATTTTGATGAAATCCACTATTTATTTGTATTTGCAACTAAACTTAACACAACTCTATGGTTAGCACTGACTCCTGTTCACAACTATCCACACCTACATCACTTACCTGTCTGTATCAGTGTTACTAAATACTACACTGGGGTCAATGCTGTAATCCACACCTACATCACTTACCTGTCTATATCAGTATTACTGAATACTACACTAGCGTCAAAGCTGTAACCCACACCTACATCACTTACCTGTCTGTATCCGTGCTACTGAATACTACACTAGCGTCAATGCTATAATCCACACCTACATCACTTACCTGTATGTATCAGTATTACTGAATACTACACTAGCGTTAAAGCTGTAACCCACACCTACATCACTTACCTGTATGTATCAGTGTTACTGAATACTTCACTAGCGTCAATGCTGTAATCCACACCTACACCCGCGGACCTCTTGCCTGTACGGTGGCATTGGCATGTGAGCCTGATAAATATATGAATACTTTGTCAAAAGCTTATGGTCGTTTGTTTTTATCAGCATTTGTGAAAAGTTTGCACCTAATTTAACTCATTTTGTAAAGTATTTTTTACCAACACAATACAGAAATGTGTCTGTTGTATTGCAGACAAATAATTCACATAAGTAGTTATAAGAAAAAGGTCGTTTCTTACCCAAGATAGATGCTTGTCTTCACACCTGAGCAACCGGATCTGCAGCCTCCTTGGCAGTTACACCAAAGACGGTCGCAGCTACCTACTCCACAGTGAAACAAAGTCTAAAACAAAGATAGAATAGGCATGAATTGTTTGACAGGTCACTGTTTTACCCGAGGAAAATATATTTAAAAGGAACAACTCGAACATGCTGTCCGGTAGAGTATCAAAATTCAAAAGGGTCCATTTTGTTAAAGAAAACATTGGGTATTTGAGTTATGTGCACAACACAGTTAAGCTCGTAAGGAGTTATGGTTGTTCTAGGGACATGCATACAGTAAGTGTACCACAGAAGAACGTTAATGTACGCCTTTGGCACTCCTACATGCTGGTACAACCATAAACCCGAGCTGATGCTATATTTTGACGTCATATTATAAGGCAAGAGAAAATACTGATCCTATATACTATACTAGGAAGTTGGCTTCATCGAACGTTAATGACATATTCTGATACCATATACTTATATATATTATGATACCATGTACTAATATATATATATATATATATATATATATATATATATATATATATATATATATATATATATATATATATATATATATATATACCAGGTGGTTCAAACTAAATTTAAGGACATTTGCTGACATATACATATTCTACAGTATGAAGATGATTCAACCTTACGTTAAGGACCTCGTACCCCGGTATTTTGGTGAGGTAAGGTAAGGGTGCGATTTATTTCAAAAGTTCTAAACTAGTGATATTGTTAAGGTTGTGTCAATACCTTTTTTATATCTTGTTATCTTGTTCGTTATGAAAACAAACACCCGACGAGTATGAAGTAGGATGAACCACTCTCTATTTTTATTCTAAAAACGATATAATGTTATAATTTGATATTACTGAACTAAGAAATGGTACTTATTTTCAATTTCTTATACCATTTTTCCAATGTTGACGAGCATATGGTTTGTAAATAATTTATACGTTAGTTTAAAGACATCACTAACATTGACAGCTGTTCTGAATTTTTTATTATTATTATTTTCAAAAATCAGTTACAATAACAACTCTCCTGAGGATAACATTGGTTACAATGACAACAGCATCCTCACTACTATTTATAAACATTTGGTTGTAAATGATGCCATTTGTAATCATTTGACTGATAAAGTATCACATTTGTTTTAAACTGCATCGGCTGGTTTATATTTGCATTCCAGAGAAATTCACACAATTGAAACTCAGGGACAGCAAAATACTCCTATAATTTGCAATGGTTTAAGGCATCGATCATTTAAGGCAAATATCATTGAATCTTTAAGTCGGCAATGTGGAAGGTCAATGACTATTGACACGTTTTTTTATTAAAAAAAAATTACAAAACTGCAGTCTCCACAATAATCAGTGATGACCGGGTGACAGCACACAGCTTCCGCTTGTCTTATAACGACGGAAAAACAGGTGGTTATAGCTACGATTGTACCGAATCCAAGAGACATTTTCTAAAATAAAAACATTACAAATATGATTATGTGGTATCTACTGTCCTATGTATGACTTTGAATGTGCGCTAGGTTTGGAGTTTCCTTGACGTATACCATACAGACAGCAGAAAACACAGCAGTATTCCTTAACTTAAAACAAAACGGCATACTACTACTGAATACTACTGACAGTAAACTATTTAATAACGATAGCACCTTGTAGTCAATTAATTTATTAATGTTAAGTAACATGTCACACTAGAAAGACCTTACCTTGACAGTTGCTTCTGTTGTATTGGTTAAGTCAGCAGTAAGTGACACGTTTATTTGGGTAACCAGCCAATCAGATCGATTATCTGCAGATGTCGATGCAAAAGCAACAACATATATAAGGTTCCCAGTGGATGGGGTAGTGATCACAGTTCACGGGGTAATAAAATCATCAAATTTCACATCACAATAAACCAAGCATATTCATATTCAATTGTAAATGCGTGTCTGGGGAATTGGAAACTGCGAATAAGCGAGTATAATGGCTTTGTTTCACGAAGGACAAGGAATGAAAAGCAATATTCACTATATGATGTAATGATAGCGCATGGAGAATTAAATAACTCGGAAGTGAAAGTAACATGCCACACTAGAAAGACCTTAACATCTTACCTTGACAGTTGTGTCTGATGTAATGGTTCAGTCAGCAGTAAGTGACACATTTATTGGGGAAACCGACCGATCAGATGGTTAGTATCGGCTGATGTTGGTACAAGATCCACATCATATTCAGAAGTTTGATCGCCATGTTTCAATTGAAAACAGTGATGTGATTTTTTTCTGTCCCCAGGCTTTCTAATTATAAGATGGTTGGAATGTGTGATACAGATAATATACAGAAGGTGACATAAGACCATCTGTGTGAAAAGGTCGTAATGAGACGTGGGGAACCCATCCGTAGAAGTGATTCGCAGGTTATTGTTCCTAACCATGTTACAAATCTTCATCCATGTGCACTATATAGGGTTATATACTGTAGGTAGAAGGTCCTTCTGACTGTCAGTATTCTACCATATTGAAGTAAGGAAGAACATTTTTAAAAATTATCTGATGGTGGGGTATAGAGGTCCTCCTGATAGCCATGAGAGATGATTTGTCCTGTCAGGCTGTATAACCATAATGGCCATGTAAACTTTTAGCCATTCACTCCAGAATATATATGATTGACATTGTTACACAAATATATTTTCTATATAATAAAACGAACATTACTGCAGCCGTACCTGTAGCTAACTCAGGGGTACATGACTGACAAATTGGGAAATTTATGTAATGACGGAATATGCATGCTACGTTATGGTAAGGGTAAGACTAGTTGTCCTCACTGTGTGTACCTTAACGTTATGTTTTTGTCCGTTTATTTTATCAATGTCATGTTAACGATCCTTCTCTTCAAAGATCAATTCTTTTTATCAAACCACTGTCACGTCAAATGACAATTAAAATGTAATTATGTTTTTATACTGGGAATGGAAACTAAACGTCAACCAGCATTATTCGGTACTGTCAAAAATATATGTTGTAAAAATCGAACAATTTTTCATTTAAAAGATAATAAAATATTTAAAAAATTGCAGATGCGTTCCAAACTCTGTTGGGTTTATCTTTCAAGGCCTACATGAAACCAATACATTTTAACAGTAAGTGATTTTTGCTATTTTCATTCACTTCTAGAATCAAATTCATCCAAACTGATAATGCCGTCGCCATTTTTGTCTTTTTCTATAAATTCAGCATGGATGTCCTCAGATCTCGTGTTTCTGTTCAGGTTCATTGCAGCACGAATGTATTCATCTCTGGACAGCTGCTCGTTTCTGTAATGATATGATCAAAATATGCCGTTCAGTTCTACTGAAACTCGTTTCTTAATGGTTTATAGGCACTTTACATTGAAGTATAATGATGAGAACATAATCAGAATAATCTAGCGGCTGACATGTATAATAAATCCAAAATGATGGTAATCATCTGTTAAAATCGAGCATATTGAAAGGCAAATGTAAAAGCCTCTTTGTTCCGTAGGAATGCCACACTGCAAATCCACAGAATTCGATGTTTTCACATCAGAATTTTGAAATATATCCACTTTTAAGTTGTATATAACTTAACAGAACTCCATGTACACTGCTCACTTTGTCCAATGCTGTAATCTACACCTACATCACTTACCTGTCTGTATCAGTGTTACTGAATACTACACTGGGGTCAATGCTGTAATCCACACCTACATCACTTACCTGTCTGTATCAGTGTTACTGAATACTACACTGGCGTCAATGCTGTAATCTACACCTGCAGTCGCGGACCTCTTGCGGTTGCACTTGCAGCCTCGGCTACTATTATAAATGAAAACGAAATGATAAAATTTTATATCTTTTTGCAATGCATAAATGATAATAATAATAAAGCTATTTTGGTGACAATTTGAGTATTCGGTGTGCTGTTTCTTTCCTTGTCTTCTATTTAAGACATGGTATTTATGGTTTTCATTTTTTTTTTTGCACTGCTTTCTTCCCCCCACCATTATTGTAAAGTAGATGATAAATTAAAATCATGTTGGGTAGAATCTGGTTCTAATAATAATTTTTTATAGCGCGGATAATTAGACACATTATTAGACGGAGCAAAAAGCTGTTTCTTACAGCCAAAATCCGGAATATCTCACATTCGAGCAACCGGATCTGCAGCCTCCTACACAGTTACAACCGAGTCTATCACATTCCCCTACACCACAGGCATACAATGTCTGAAACAAAATGAGAATTGTCATTATTTGATCAAACTGCCACTGTTTCACCGGAAAACATATTAAAGAGAAGCCACTTGAACACTCTGTGCATTACGATGGCTTCATTCAATTGGGTCTACTTTGTTAAACAAAGCAATTTTACTCTAAGGACGTGTTGCTATGGTATTTTGATGGTGCGGTGTGTAAAGTACCATGATGAATGTAGGATACCAATTCTTTTGAAAGATCTGAAGTTGTGACAAGATTAAGAAATTGTCAAAATCCATATACACTTTGCTATCCCATTTGTTCTAAAATCAGCTACAATATCAAGCTTCCAAATAAGCATGTCGTATTATATACTGCATTGTACCTTCTATTGTTATTCTTAAAAATGATAAGTGTTAAAATTTGACATAATAGTTTTAAAATGAATGAAACATGGTATCAGTTATTTCAGTAATTTGTTCCCAGTGTGAGCAAACACTTTGTTTGTTATTGTCATTCTATACGTGGGTTTAAAGATTTTTTATAACAACTTTTCTGAAGAAATATTTTGTTTTTGAATCACAGGTGCAATGAAACTCTACTGAACAATTCTCATTCGTATCTCTAAACATTTGACTTGTTAATGATGCCTTTTTCATTCTTTGGTGTTAAGTAATAAATCTGGATTTTGTTTCAACGTTTTTCCCAAAACAATGTGCTTTTGCTGGTATATTTCAAGTACAGAGAAATTACATCATATAATTAGAGATCAGGGGAAAAACATTTCTGTATTTTACAATTATCAGCCAAAAGTAAGTAAAAATAATCAGTAATTCGATTTATAATAAATCTATATGTCAACTTTTGATTGGGAACTAAATGACTATTGACCAGATCTTTCCATGAACTTACACGGCTGCAGTCTCCGCAGTGATCAGGGATAACTGGACGACAGCATTCAGCGTCCGCTAGTCTAAGAAAGAAGGACAAACTGACGGTTACCAGGATTGCCACGACTCCAATGGACATTTTCTGAAATGAACACATTAATATTCATACAAGGTAGTCAATTTGTAAATTTAGGGTACGAAAGTGTTATGGTATTTCCGTAAGGTACATGTACATAAACTTCTATAGCACACCGCTGGTGGAAAACACAACAGCATTCTTTGACATGAAGTAACCGCCATGTAATAACTACGGTAGATATTGATCCCGTCCCCATACATACCATCGGTCTAGGAGATAGTCCCAACTTTGCAGGGACACTTGCTAGGCTTAACATAATCACAATTTTCCTCTTGTTTTCAAAGTACTTGTATAATCACCTGCCTTGCTGTATTCTACTTAAAGCTAGGAGGAGGCGGGCCATTCAGTTAAGATGGTTGCAGTCAGCAAGCGTCCCTTCAGAGTTGGGTCAATTAGACAGATGGTGTCTTTGAGAATGGGGCGTATGTTAAGTTTAAGTTTGAGTAACATAAGAGATATATTAACACCTTACCTTGGCTGTTGCGTCTGATGAAATATTCCAGTCGACAGTTAGTGCCACGTTTAAGGAGATAGTCGGCCAATCAGATCGAGTATCGGCAGATGGCGGTACAAACGTAGAACCATATTTGGGAGCTTGATAACTGTGTTTAAACTGAAAATAAAAACGATTTTATCTGTCCTCAAATTTATGTAATCCCTCAAATGTATCTAATTCCATTTTTACAAGGGAAACCAAAACTAAAACTCATGGATAATTACTGTCGATTTTTTTAATTGAAGAGTGATATGGATAAACAATGGAAAAATAAACGAGCAGGTCAAAATTACGCAACTATATTCAATCCACAGAGACTCTCGCTAAATGCAATACAGCTACTGTGTACCCCTGTATCAATCATCATTTTAGAAAAGCATTGTCTAAAATGCCCCAAAGAAATATTTTACATTTTTTTAAAAATATTTTTAAAACAGTCGGTTAGTCGGGTGATAGTGCTCTGAACTGATTTATTGGACCTCTTAGGGCTATTTCAGTCGCCGAGATATGTGAACGACACCGATACGAAGACTTGACAGTCATCTGCATATTGTTTTCCTTTGGACATACATGACGACATGAGTATTTGTGTATAAAGAGAAAATCTTTCTGATACATCATACAGTAAGAGTTCATATAGTATACTAAATGTCAATGGAACTGAACTTATAAATATCTTGAAAGAAATAAGTAACGTATAAAGATATTCTTGAACATATTCTTGGAGTGATAAACATGCAGTGACTTCGTCCTCAACGGGAGTTGTAATATCTCCCAACCATCATTTCAGAATAGAATTGTGTAAAATGCACAAATAATAATTTACAAAAACCATCATTTTGGAGAGAATCACTTATTTGTCATGGAAACTATCACGGCAAATAATTTAAAAAATTTTTACGGTTTAAGACTGGCGATAAAAACCAAGTGTCTACCAGCATTTCACTGTACTGTCAGACAAATAGGGTGGATATTAATCAAGCTTTTATTCCAAAGTATCAGGAAAAAATAACAACATTTGCAGACGCTTTCAAATTCAATTGATTTTTCTTTGTACGTCTCGATGATGGGAACAGATTATAATTTACGGAAAATGATTTTTGCTATTTTCATTCCCTTTTTATGTCAAATTCATCCAGACTGATCATGTCGTCGCCATTTTTGTCTTTTTCAGTAAATTCAGTATGGATGTCCTCAGATCTTGCGTTCCTGTTCAGGTTTATTGCAGCACGAATGTATTCATCTCTGGACAGCTGCTCATTTCTGTAATGATGAGGTTTATAATCAAAATATGCCGTTCAGTTGTACTGAAGCTCGTTTCTTAATGGTTTTATGTTACTTTTCATTTAAACATAGTGATAAGAACACGACCCAAATTATTTTGACGCTGAAATGTATGTAACTCCGAAATAATGGTAACCATCTGTTAAAATTGAGTATATTTAACAGATAATGTAAAAACCTATTTGTTGTGTATAAATCTACAACTGAATATACCCTTATAAATTAGTTGTTTACAAATCCACTTTTAACTTGTATGTAACTTTACATAAGTCCATGTACACTATCGTCGCTTACCGGTCCACATCTGAATTACTGAATACTACACTAGCGTCAATGCTGTAATCCACACCTACATCACTTACCTGTCTGTATCAGTGTTACTGAATACTACACTAGCGTCAATGCTGTAATCCACACCAACATCACTTACTTGTCTGTATCAGTGTTACTGAAGACTACACTGGCGTCAATGCTGTAATCCACACCTACATCACTTACCTGTCTGTATCAGTGTTACTGAATACTACGCTGGCGTCAATGCTGTAGTCTACACTTACACCCGCGGATCTCTTGCGTGCACGTTCGCAATGGCATTTGCGCCTACCAATGGAAAAATGTTATATATACACAGCATATAAACCACAACTTCTTGTTTCTTATACGATCAATATCTTCCAAAAGTGCACTTTGTTCAATTGATTGGTCGTAAATTATTCTACTTATGCATCCTTCCAGTTCTTAAAAGTCCCATAAATGACGTAATACTGTACGCACATTACATAGTCATCACTCTCACACCAATGTACATGTATAGCTGCGCAAGAGATCGCACTTATTCAAATAAGACTGCCAAGGGATGTTTATAGCACGAACAAAGAGCTGGAATTATCCATTTAAATATCACTTCTCGTAAAGATGAAACGATGGCCCTTAGTATTTCTCTTAGTTATAAAATATGAACATTATATGATTATTATATTATTTTTTTTGGGGGGGGGTATGTGTAGCGAAAATAATTAACACAATTTGGTGACAATTTGACTGTGCAGTGTGCCAGTTCTTTTGATTTCCTTTTTAGCTCAACAAATATGAAAGCTATGATGCTCAATAATAAATTTTAACTTTTTCAAGTCTTCTTTTTTAAAGAAGTTGTTCAATTAACACCGGTTCATATTCAATGAAAAAACAAATTGTTTTTAGTTCATACCAATTAAACGCATTATAAGTTGGAAAAAATACTTCTTTCTTACGTCCAAAATCCTGTAACTGTCACTTTTGAACAACCGGATCTGCAGCCTCCTTCACAGTTACACTCCAATCGATCACAGCTTCCTACCCCACAACCATAATATGTCTGAAGAAAAAGGAAACGCGTTTAACCTTTTTTTTTCTCTTATCCAAGGAATTAGATTGAAAAAAATATACATATTGACAAAAAAATTATATTAAAAAAATGTCCTTGCTTCGAATAGCTATAACAGTCCATTCCCAGTGTTAATGTTTATGAGGTTTATATTTTATACGTTGGTTTTAAAAAAGATCCACATCCTTTACCTCCCGGTCCCTGATTTCCAACGTTATTTTCGGGATATCTTTGATAAGTAGTAAAACTGTGTTTTGTGTTTATATTAACACCAGCGTAAGCGGCCATCCTATGGCAATTGGTAGAGTCTCTAGATAAGCACAACTTACACGACTACAGTCCCCGCAAAAACCATCTATATTCGGAGAGCAGCAGACAGCGTCCACTCTTCTAACAACGACGGACAAACACGCAGTAACTAGGATGGTCACGATTCCAATTGACATTTTCTAAATTAGAATAAACGCATTTATACAAAGGTCACTGTCCCAAGAAAGACTTTGTATGTGTTCTAGTATTGTGATTTCCTGGAAGTATGCCATACCGACACCAGAAAACATGCTAGCATAGAATACAGCGTAAACAGAGAAAACATCACTGCACATTGTAACAAATCATGACAGCATACCCTAAGAGAAAACATCCCTGCACAAAATAACAAACCATAACAGCATATCATAACAGAAAACATAACGTTCTTATTTTACAGGCCGGTCACAGCAGGTTATGATAAAAGGCATATTATCAAATGTTTCAGAGATAGCTTTTGGTGTGCCACAAGGCAGTGTTCTAGGACCTCTTGTTTTTTGCATGTATACCTTGCCAATTGGGGCCATACTAAGACATCATATCATTGGCTATCATATTTATGCTGATGACACACAGATTTTTACTTGTTGCATCTAGAAAATCCAAATGAATATATTGATATATTGTCTGAATGTATTGATGATCTTCGCGGGTGGCTGATTAGTAATAAGTTGAAAATTAACGATGGAAAGTCTGAACTTTTGGTAATAAGTCAGCCACATAATCGTATGATAGCACAACAAATTCAGCTCAAAATTGGATCAAGCATTATTAAGCCAACACCTCATGCAAAAATTCTTGGTGTATTTTTAGATCGATCACTTTGTATGAACAAACATATTGCCAGTGTATGCAGGTCAGCGGTTTTTAACATAAGGAACTTAAGTGCAATTCGCAATCAGTTGTCTGACTCTGCTGCAGCCACAGTTATAAACTGTTTAGTTACGTCTCGATTAGATTACTGCAACTCCATTTTATACGGTTGTCCGAAGAAACAAATTGCTAGACTGCAGCGCATTCAAAATATTTCGGCCAGATTATTAACTCGGACATCCACAAGCATACACATCTCCCCAGTTTTAAAAAGTTTACACTGAATACCTCTACAAGCCAGAATTTTATTCAAATTTTTAGTTTGTACTCACGATGCTTTTTATGGATTGGCACCAATCTACATCAATGAATTAGTCAGTCACTATGTTCCAATGCGAAATCTGCGGTCTGTAGACCAATTGCTACTCAACCCAGTAAAAATGCGATTAAAAACCTAAGGTGATCTATCTTTTAAAGCTGCAGGTCCAAAGGAATGGAATCTATTACCGCTAGAAATCCGAGCAATTCAGTCTACCAAACATTTTAAAAAAGAACTCAAAACATACCTTTTTAGGATATATTTTGATTAACTCTTAATTGGTTTTATAAATCCTGTATTGATTGCATTTAATTGTATGGAATAATGGTTGTTTTACCTAGATTTTATTTATGATATTTTATGTAGTATTATTTATAATATTTTATGTAAAGTCTACTGAACATTTTAAATGGATTTTAGACTTAAAATAAATTTATTATTATTATTAATAATTTACTTTAGAAGATAACATAAGAACAACAGGAAACATAACAACATACTATAACAGATAACATACATGTAGTAACATACAATAATAGAATACATGACGACACTCTACTGCCGGTATGATGTAATCATGGCGATTAGAGAATAAAATAAATTACGTTAAGTTTTATGCTATGTTTAAATAACGTACCACACTAGAAAGAAACACCTTACCTTGACAGTTGCAGCTGATGCAATGGTTCAGTCAGCAGTAAGTGGCACGTTTATTGGGGTAACCAGCCAATCAGATCGAGTATCGGCAGAGGTCGGTACAAAAGCATATTTAGAAGCTTGAAGTTAGAAGTTTCGCCACGTTGAATTGAAAACAGAATGGCATGTCTTATTTTCTCTACACAAACTATTCTAATGATAAAATGGTTAAGGTGTAATGACAGCGCAAAGAAAACTAAATAAGTATATAATAAATTTTACATTAATTGAGAGTAACCTACTACACTAGAAAGACCTTAACACCTTACCTTGACAGTTGCACCTAATACAATGGTTCAGTCAGTAGTAAGTGACACGTGTATTGGGGTAACCAGCCAATCAGATCGAGTATTGGCAGATGTTAGCACAAAAGCAACAGGATATTTAGAAGATTGATCCCCATATTTAAATTGAAACAAATTGGCAGGGTTTTTATCATTTATCATACCAGAAAAGCATTGTCTCAAATGCCCAAAAGATATATTTTACAATTTTTTTATAAATTTAAAACAGTAAAATCGGTCAGTTAATTAATAGTTTGGGACCTTTTAGGGCTATTTCAGTTTCCGAGATATGTGAAAGGCATTGATACGTAGACTTGGCAGTCATCTCATCCGCATATTCTGCATTTTTCTTTGGACATAAATGACGTCATAAGGATTGTATATAAAGAGAAGAACATGATCTTTCCTATACATCATACAGCAGTAGTTCATATGGTACACTTAATGTCAGTGGGATTGGACTTATAAATGTCTTGAAAGAAATAAGTAACGTATAATGATATTCTTGAAGCGATAATCATGCAGTGAGTTCGTCCTCAACGGGAGCTGTAATCTAATAAAGATGATACATTGTCGAGGTTTTCCAGTTAACAGTTCAAAAAAGAATTGTGTAAAATGTCAAACAGATAATTTACAACAACCATTATTTTGGAATGAATCACTCTTTTGTCACTGAAACTATCACAGCAAATAACAATTTAAAAAATTACCGTTTTAGACTGGTGATAAAAACCAAGTGTCTACCAGCATTTTACTGAACTGTCAGACAAATAGTGTATATATTCATCAGGCTTTTATTTCAAAGAATCACTGAGGAAAAAATAACAACATTTGCAGACGCATTCAAATTCGATTATTTTTCTTTGTACGCCTCCATGATGACAACACATTATAATTTACGGGGAGAAAATGTTTGTTCTTTTCTTTCCTTTCAAAGATAATAAAAACATAAAAATCATTTGCTGATGCTTTTCAAACTCAGCTGGATTTATCTTTGAAGGCCTACATGAAACCAATACAATATTTTTAACAGCAAGTGATTTTTTACAGTTTCATTCACTTTTTGTTTCAAATTCATCCCAACTGATCATGTCGTCGCCATTTTTGTCTTTCTCCTTAAATTCAGCATGGATGTCCTCAGATCGTGTGTTCCTGTTCAAGTTCATTGCAGCTCGAATGTATTCATCTCTGGACAGCTGCTCGTTTCTGTAATAATACGGATTGTAATCACAATCAGCAGTTCAGTTCTACTGAATTCTGTAGACATACTTCCCGTGATTTTTATCTTTTGCTTTTACACTTTCATTTCATGAATAATCCAATTTAACAAAATAAACAATAAGGGGCCAGATCTGTTTCGACGGGAAGTAACATACTTTTAATAAACACTATCTGACCATATGTAATACTATGTGTAGCGACCCATGATTGTATAGGAATACCAGTGCACATTTTACACACCTGTTTACAATAACACTGAGAATAAAATCGGAATCTAAGTGACTCCAAACTTGGAGTCCAGCAGTGGTGCCTAAAATAACTCCCAATTGGGAGAAATGCCATCCCAGACCCCAGAGAAGGGTCACAATTGGCTCCATTCACACATCCCTTCATCCCTTGATTTATCTCTACAAAAGAGTCACCATGACCCCATATTTAGGAATTTTTGACTCCTTGGCACATCATGAACAAAAACAATAACTTCAGTACCAAGGGGAGAGACTGCAAGTATCATTTACTTCAGACTGATGTGTCCCCGGACGGGCTCGAACCCACGTCCTCCCGCTTCAGAGGCGGACATCCAAACCACTAGACCATGCGGTCACATGTGGTGTTGAAGGAGCAATAACAAACAGTTAGTAATAAACAGTTGGTAATAAACAGCATGACATATATATATATATATATATATATATATATATATATATAAATGAGTGAGCATACCTCTCCACTGACATGCATTGGTGGGTCAAACCTACAACCTGGAAACACAACCTGCTGACCTGCATACCAATATATCACATAAAGGGTGTGGCAACTGAAATCCCAGGCCAGTTATACAATGTAATTAAGTGCACGAGTTCTGCATGCAGAAACAGACAGAAAACCACTTGTTAATGCATAAAACCAACTATGGCCAATAAAGTAATGTTTATACTGACAAAGCAAGAGGAAAACTGTTCTCTCCACGCCGTCTGCTCACTGCCATCACAAGTAATGAAACGATGCTTACTGTCCAGCGAGCGAAACGAGTCGGTGAAAGGGGTCAGTCAGATACTGGCCCCCGATAATTTGACTCTGATTTTAGAGTCAGATTGATTCCATGAGAGCAAGGGGGTGATTGACTCTGATAAGAGAGTCTAAAGCTCTGGTAGTGGGGTAATTTGACCCTTATATAGGAGTTAAATTAACTCCATGAGGGTCAAGGGGTGCTGGACTCTGACTAGAGAGTCAAATTACTCCAATTTTATTCTCAGTGAATTTAACTATATCATTTACCTGTCTGTATCAGTGTTACTGAATACTACACTGGCGTCAATGTTGTAATCCACACCTACATCACTTACCTGTCTGTATCAGTGTTACTGAATACTACACTAGCGTCAATGCTGTAATCCACACCTACATCACTTACCTGTCTGTATCAGTGTCACTGTATACTACACTAGCGTCAATGTTGTAATCCACACTTACATCACTTACCTGTCTGTATCAGTGTTACTGTATACTACACTAGCGTCAATGCTGTAATCCACACCTACATCACTTACCTGTCTGTATCAGTGTTACTGAATACTACACTGGCGTCAATGCTGTAATCCACACTTACATCACTAACCTGTCTGTATCTGTGTTACTGAATACTACACTAGCATCACTGCTGTAATCCACGCCTACATCACTTACCTGTCTGTATCAGTGTTACTGAATACTTCACTAGCGTCAATGCTGTAATCCACGCCTGCAGATCTCTTGCGGTCGCAAGTGCACGTTGGTGGCCTATCAAGAATTATGCAATTTGATTATAACGTCAATATTTCCTTCAAAACAATTTTTACAGATAACACACCGATAAGAAAATAAGCAAATAAGCTATTTTAGTCTGGGTATTGTTTTAGTTCTTTTAATATGATGTAAATAAATGAATATCATTTTTTTTCGGATGTTTCCCAAATCAATGAATGGTTTTGGGAAGAGCTTTTCTTGTACCATTTATTTCTTAATTACAAGCACGTTGATTTGGCTGTTTAATGATCACAAAATCCGGTCAAATTCAAATATATATTGTGGTAAATTGATTTATAGAGAAGAGAAACTAGCTGCATTAGCTGGATGAATACATAGAGGTATTTTACTTATATCCTACAATCCTTATATTAGAGCAACCGGATCTGCAGCCTCCTCGACAGTTACACATTAACTTATCACATTTCCCAACTCCACAGCCATACCACACCTAAAACAATTGAAATAAGTTGGAGAACATTTCAATTTGAATGATATTTATATAACAATTTTGTGACATGTACCGTTTACCCCAGAGCCACGTTATGTGTCTTAGCAAATCAGCTTTGCCCATTGCATCATAAGACACAAGAAAGACACACTTGGGACAAGTCCACAATGGAGTCATGTTCCTGCTGTATTGGGGACCTGGCTACAGAATACAGACAGATATGGCTGCACGATATAGCTACAAATTCCTACTTGGTGTCCTACAGGGGTACTTGGTGTGCGACAATGATTTGACCAGTATGCAGATGGCTTGCTGCCAGGCACAATGTGAGAACTCGTAAGGCCACTCTAATATTGATTACTTAAGACCTTAGGAGGAAGATTCGAGTAGGGCTCATCATTAAATTTCTGTTATATTCCGTTTTATAACGTTTAAAGTAGTTCAGTCCCTATTCTGGGAATAGAAATGGATGGGCAAACAGTGGGCAAACAAATTTTAAACGGAATTAAAAACAGCTTAGTCAAAGAACACATACATGTAGCTTAGGCGACTGAATCCCTTGACTCTGGTATCTGTGGTCCAGCGCGAGAGCAACGATGCTCTGTAAGGTTAATTAACGACAAGGTGCATCAGCCAGAAGAGCACAATTTAGGAGCTGATACCAGTGCCAACACGTGCAGTGTCAATCAACCCAAACACCGCCTCACTGTTATCATTGCTGTGGTATCTTAACGGCAATGCAATAAAAACTTAGATGATAATTATTTTTTAAATAATAATATTTTTAAAATAAAAAAGTTATTATCGTTTATTTATTTTATAATGCTATATTTTATTTCTTCATTATGGAAATCTCTTTCGCAATTAAAAACAAAGGCTCTGACAGCATTAAGCACAAACACGTTATTGTATTATTTTGTTTTCGTGTAAGTTCAATGCAGGTTGCTATCGTAGTATAGATTTAAGCATGGACAAATTTAGTGAACGGTGCTGTCTGTCCACAATTATTGTACTTCATATTGAATCGACACTTATTTACAAGAATAAGTACTTGTAATTTCACGACATATACCTAATGGTGTAAAACGCTGGCTGGTCACGGTTTCCTTGTGAAAATCGATTTACAAGCCTGGGGATTACATTTATGATCTGCATACGGAGTATACAAGCTGCAGAACATGCTGTGTGTGGCTGTCTGCTCACGGCCATTTTATTTACTTGGATTTCAGATTATGCAGTCACAGCTTTTAGAGCAAACAAATTCGCTAGCGATATATGTAAACATATTGACAGTATCTCCTCAATTCTATTTTGAATGCTTGACATGCTGGTATTGTAAAAAAAATAATTGGCTATAGAATTCAGAATAGATAAAATAACTATCTAGAGGCAAAAGTTGAAAAAAGGCCCATTTCCACTCCTTAACATATTACATGCAGAAAATGGAGAGAAAAATCTTCCCAGTAACAATGTGTTCATATTGCGCTCCGTCAGACCCCCCTTCTCTCTAGGGTGTTTTTCCATCTCTCTGTAATTTTAAGTCTTTGTAAACAACACCAGTTTTAAAAAAGGATAATTTACTAGGTATCTTTAACATCTGAAATTGATGACTGCAATCACTTCTCTTCATCATGGTAAAATAAAACTCTCTAGGTTGGATTGTAGTATTTTTAAAAATTTGAAAAACAAAGTGTCATTTGTACATGATTTAGTGGGGCACTCACGTAACAGGGTAATTAAATAGTGATAGGGAAGTCTATGGTGATACAACCGTAGTGGGTGCAAGCAAGAAGCTATAATCCCTATTCACATAAATCATTGGTATTAGTCCAAGTACAAGTGATTGTTTGGAAGTGAAAGGGACACTTCGTCCTGTCAGGGTTCAACGTACAATTATAGACCATTATTATCCTAAATTACCACTTAGTAAAATGAGGAAGTGTGACCATGGACCGACGGTGAAGTTAGAACATAAAGTGTGTGACCTACAATGTAAAGTCGGCTATCCCGACATCGGCTTTTGCAAATTTTCTGGGAAACAATCTATTATTACTTCCACCATGGGTCCGTTAAAATATTTTATACTATTAAATTTTGCCTTATTATATTTTACGCATCTTTTGAATACTCTTTCTTTCGGTTGCTAATGATACCTTTTTCATCTTTTGGTGCAAGTTTAATTTGTTTTCAATATTTTTCAACAAAACAAACTACTTCGGCTGCTATATGTGAATTTCTGAGAAATTAACACCAAGTAATTTAAAGTCAGGGAAAGCAAAATAGTTCTGTAATTTGTAAGGGTTAAAGGCATCGATAATTTAAGGCAAATAGTATTAAAAGCATAAGTCAGCATTCCACTGAGAGCTAAATGACTATTGACTATTGACTATTGACTATTTACACAGTCTCTGAATAAAAACAACTTACAGGACTGCAGTCTCCACAGTAATTTGTAATAGCCGGATAGCAGCACACAGCTTCTGCTTGTCTTATAACGGCGGAAAAACTGGCGGTTATAGCTGCGATTGTAACGAATCCAAGAAACATTTTTCTAAAATAAACACAAAACAAATGGTCACGTACCTTATAAAGAAGCTACTCTCTTAAGTTAGAGATTGAATGTGTGATAGATATGGGTTTCTTTGACGCATATCATATCACCACAGAAATCAAGAGCACACCATGTTGTATTGATAGCACCTTGTAGTAAATAAATAAGGTTACGTCTCACGTTAACATACATTCCACACTAGAAAGACATCAACACCTTACCTTGACAGTTGCAATTCATGTAATGATTCAGTCAGCAGTAAGTGACACGCTTCTTGGGGTAACCAGCCAATCAGATCGTGTATCGGCAGATGTCGGTATAAAAGCAACAACATATAAAAAGATTCCCAATGGAGGGTGGTAGTTGACGGGTAATAAAATCATCAAATCCCAAATTACAATAGACCAACCTTAAATGCGTGTCTACGGAATTGAAAATTGCGAGTAAACGAGCATAATGGCTTCGTTTCACAAAGGACAAGGAATCAAAAGTGGCATTCACGAGTCACGGACATGGATTATGCTAAATGATATGAAGGTTTTACGAATCTCGGGCAAAAAATAGTGTCTTTCGCTGGTAACAAAAATAGCCAATCGATTCCCTCTTATTAATAATCTTGAATAAAATTGAAAATAAAATAACGTTGTTTTTCCTGTTCTAAAGTTGATCTTAGAATAAGAGGGTTTTAATGTGCGATACAAACAGAATATTTTAGCTGTCATTTTGATTTTTTCAATAACAGGAACGTGGGCTGAGGGTTATATGTACCATCGGCGTGTGGATTGGCGTGTGGATTGTTTGTTTGTCTGTTTGATTGTTTGTTTGATTGATTGTATATTTGTCTATTTGTCTGTCTGTCTGTCTGTTTGTTTGTTTTTTTGGGCAATTATTGCTACAAATGTTTTTTTTAATTATTTTCTTTTTAAAAACCTTGTATATTTTTGTGTATTTAATTTTTTTTTTTGTGACATCATTTTTCTTTGTTTTTGAAAATCCTATCTTGTCCGTTTTGATTTTCAGTCGCGTCTCATCTTATAACTAGGTAATCCATGTAGCGCGCTTGCACTGAAGTTTGTGCACGTGCATTATTGGATTGATTCGATAAGCGGGTATACAAACACTTCAGCTAAGATCCGCACTGGACACAGTCAATATCTGATCGCTCAAGTGTTCTTGGACTAAAACAGTTGTATCAAATATGTTTAAATGGTTTACACACCATGCAAACAGCAAAGCGCGCACGCGGTCGTCCCATACAAGTAAATTTTGGGCAACTCTGGCTTACTCGATTTTTGGATTTCTGAGTACCTTATAACTTACAACAGCTTGCGTCAACAATGAAGTGGGTAACTTTGGCTTAATCGATTTTTGGATTTCTGCGTACCTTAGTATTTTAAATTGACAACCAATTAACGGTTATATAAACATTATCTATGATAAAACTTTTACTGCAAGTTGATGAAACATTTCTCAGCTCGGTTTCTTCTTGTTATTGGCCAGTGGCCAGATTGCTAATCCTGCAAAGTTCTCTCCTATCAATTTTTAAACGATTTTTTTTTTCGTTTTTAAACGAAGTATAGGTTACATGTCTGGGTCATATCCTTCATCATAGTGACCATAGCCATTTACTACATTATATATATATATATATATATATTAATAAACTTTTTTTCATATTAGGTTGTATTTATAAGACTCACGTTATTTTTTAAATTAGTGGAAATTGACGGCCTGGGAGAAATAAAGTTCATTCTTTAAAAATAAGAAAGAACAATGTATTAAGTCCTTCACTGGAAGGTTTCATTTGTATATTGCTATCACACATCATTTAATAACTGTATGGTACGGGTTAGTCTTGTTTTCCTTACTGTTTGACCTAAACGTTATGTTTTGTCTCTTTATTTTATCTATGTCATATGAATGGTCCTTCTCTGAAAGGGTAGGCCTACTCTTTTTATCAAACCACTGTCACGTCAAATGACAATTAAAATGTAATTATGTTCTTATATGGGAATGGAAACTAAACGTCAACCAGCATTCTTCGGTACTGTCAAAAAATATATGTTGTAAAGACCAAACAAGCTTTTTTCTTTCAAAGATAATAAAAACATCATAAAACATTTGCTGGTGCTTTCAAACTCAGCTGGGTTTATCTTTGAAGGTCTACATTATTCTCAACAGACCATGGTTTTTGCTATTTTCATTCCCATTTTGTGTCAAATTCATCCAAACTGATCATGTCGTCGCCATTTCGGTCTTTATCCTTAAATTCAGCTTGGATGTCCTCAGACCTTGTGTTCCTGTTCAGGTTCATTGCAGCACGAATGTATTCATCTCTGGACAGCCGCTCATTTCTGTAATAAAATGGTTTGTAATCAAAATATGCTGTTTATTTCTACTGAAGCTCGTGTCTTAATGGCTTATAGTTACTTTCCATTGAAATATGAAAATAAGAACACCATACTACAAATCTACAACTGAGTATACGCTTATTCGTTGTTTTCAAATCAGAATTACGAAGGGAATCCACCTTTAAATTGAATGTAACTTAAAACGAAACTCCGTGTACACCTTAAACTTCACTTCTCTGTCTATATCAGTGTGACTGAATACTAAACTAGCGTCAATGCTGTAATGTACACCTACATCACTTACCTGTCTGTATCAGTGTTACTGAATACTACACTAGCGTCAATGCTATAATCTACACCTACATCACTTACCTGTTTGTATCAGTGTTACTGAATACTGCACTAGGGTCAATGCTGTAATCAACGTCTTCACCCGCGGACCTCTTGTTTGTAATGTAGCAATTGCAGTTTCTCCTTGATAAAATACATTCGTTACATGTACACACATTGCGGATTCCAAGCAAAGCATATAAATCACATCAACTAAACTTATACGACTAAAATCCTCCAGAAGTGGATTTAAATTTGCAATTGTTTGGGCCTAAATTGCGCTATTAATCCACCCATCCAGTTTGTAAAGAGTCCCATAAATGAGTCAGCACTTTCACACCTATGTAAGGACGTGCGGATGTACAGATGGCAAGGAATTGGATACTTTTTCCAAATGAGACTGTCAAAGGATGTTAATAGCACAGGAAGAAAGCAGAAAATGTCCGTTCAAATATAATTTCCCCCCTAAAAATTGAAACGATTCCCTCCGGTATTTCTCGAAAGTATACCATTGAAACATTATTTTTTTTTTTTTGGGGGGGGGGGGAGTATGTGCAGCGAAATTAAGATAATTTGGTGACTATTTAACTGTGCAGTATGTCAATTCTTTTAGCGTCTTTCTTTTCACTAAATATATTATTAGCTATGGCGCTCAATAACAAATTTAAACTATTTAAGTAATCACTTTCAAAGAAGTTGTTCAATTAACACCAAAGTGATTTATATTCAGTTCCAAAATTAATTTATAGTGCTTACAAATTAAACGGATTATTAGTTAAAAAATACTTCTTTCTTACCAAAAACCAGTAACTGTAATTTTTGAGCAACCAGATTTGCATCCTCCTTCACAGTTGCACCTCAGTCTGTCACAGCTTCCTACTCCACAGTGATACCATGTCTGAAGTAAAGGAGAACATTTTTAACCGGCTTTACTTATGGAAATATATTGAAATAAAACTACTCGAAAATCCAAATGGTCCTCCCTTCCAATTACTATAACAGTCTGTTCCCAGAATGTTCATATGGTTTTTAATGCCATTTTATACGTTGGTTAAAAATAAAGATATAAGCTCTTTACTTCCCAGTTACAGATTTCCAAAGACAATGTGTAATAGCTAGCCCTGGGTATCTTCAAACTTTTTTAAAGAATATTCTAGCTATTTTTTTTTTATGTTAACTGCATCGTAAGCGTACATTTCATAACTAGTGGTCTTGGCAGAGCCTCTTAATAAATACAATTTACATTACTACAGTCCCCGCAATAATTATACAAAACTGGGTGGCAGCAGACAGCGTCCGCTTTTCTAATAACGGCGGACAAACACCCTAGGATTGTCACGAATCCAATGAACATTTTCTATAATAAAATAAGACATTTATTTAAAGTCATTTTCTAAAATAAAAAAGTTTCCACGTGTACTAGTATTGGGATTTCCATGACGCAGAAAACATGGTAGCAGAGTATAGTAGAATACAGCATACGCTGACAGAAAACATCCCCGCGTAATATAACAAAGAACATCACAGCATACTATGCTGGAATAAAATAACTGTAAAAATATGTCAGCATACTATAAAGAGAAACATAACAACATACTATAAGTATAATAGAAAACATGACAAAACACTATAACAAGAAATATAACAACATACTTTAATGCAGAAGATAACATACTAAAGAAACGCATAACGACACACTATAACAAAAACACATGACCGTACTATAGCAGGTAACGATAAACTGTAACAGAAAACATGACAACATTCTTTGATGAAATGATAGTGCATACAGAATTAAACAAATTGCATTTGGTTTCACGTTAAGTTAAAGTAAAGTGCCACACTAGAAAGACCTTAACACCTTACCTTGACTATTGCATCTGATGCAATGATTCAGTCATCAGTAGGTGACACGTTTACTGGGGTAACCAGCCAATCATATCGAGTATTGGCTGACGTTGGCACTAAATCAACAATTACCTACCATGGCGAATGTGCAGGAGTTCACAAATAAAGGAAGAAAAGAAAGTATTTCTCTGGTGGAGGGGAGTATAGAGGTCCTCCTGATAGCCATGAGACATGACATGTCTTGACAGACTGTATTCTTGACCTCAATGACCATGTTTAATTTTAGCCATTTACTCCAGAATATATATGATCGATATTGTTACACTTATCTATTTTCTATATAGTAAAATGAGAAGGTCTGCAGCCGTACGTGTAGCTGATACAGGGGTTCATGGCTGACCGTTTGGGTAATTTATTTTTTGGTCGATTAAGCGTGCTACATTCATCAACTTTTTCATATGCGTTTTTTATTAACCTCCTATTATTTGGTAAAATGACATTGGTAGAGTTATTTTCGTTTTCTAATAAAAAAAATAGCAGTTTATACAAGTCCTTCCCAAGAAGATTACAAACGTGGACATAGTACAGTTTATCATTTGNGAGTATGTGCAGCGAAATTAAGATAATTTGGTGACTATTTAACTGTGCAGTATGTCAATTCTTTTAGCGTCTTTCTTTTCACTAAATATATTATTAG